CTCCTTTCCTTCTCTTTTTCCCTTCCTTCCTTCCTGCACAGATCTGTGCATCCCCCCCCCCAAGCTAGCAATCCAAAACAGTCCAGTGGCACCTTTAAGGCCAAGATTTATTCAGGTACAAGCTCTCCCTCCTCTATTAGGGCAGCTCTGCACATCCCTCCCTCCCATAGATAGCAATCCAAAACAGTCCAGTGGACCCTGAGCGGTGGGTGTTGCCTTCTGACCCACTTCTGGTGATGTCAGGGGGTGTGGCATATGCAAATAAGTCATGCTAATGAGTTATGCTAATGAGCTCCTGCACCTCTTTTTGTACGAAATGACCCCTGGTTATGCTTCAATCAGTGTAATTCAAGGTATCTGCATACTGCCTTTTTTGTGATAAATCAGGGCCAGTTCTGCAGCCAAGCCACACAACCAATTGCTTGGATCAGCACCAATGCACAACAGGGATCAGCTCACTGCCATCTATTGGTGGTGCAGGAAGTGACAGCCGTCACCTCCCGAACCTGAATGCCATTGGATGTGTCCAAGCAAACTCAGTCCCTCAGGGGCTCAGCTGGGACCCAAGCAGTGGTGTGGGAGAAGACAGTGGACATACTGGGCTTGGAGTGACCTATTACCTTGAGACAGCCCTCTGTGAAATACTGTGACATCTGTCCCTGTGTGAAATAAAGTGCCACATCTGTAGTCAACGACATTGTGAAGGAAACTTTGTGAACGTTCACCAGACATTTCATGTATGAAAGATCTTTGTATGCTCTTGTGAGCCTGTTTTGGTCTGTGTGAACTTGGCCCTTTTGTATGTATTTATTTATCTACCACTTCAGTATCTGCCACCTCAGTATCTTGCCCTGCCTCTAAGGATTTCAGGGAGGCAAATATGATAGTAATCACATCTTTTTTTCTTTCATGTGTCATTATTAATGATTCAAATATTTTTTAAAAGATAATTATTAGAAGCTCCATCAAAACCTCCACAGTGAAAATGTCAAGTAAAGTTCCCTTGCTCGAAAGCCAGTCGAATCCGACTCCAGGGTTGCGGTGCTCATCTCCGTTTCAAAGCCGAAGAGCCAGCGCTGGCCGAAGACATTTCCGTGGTCATGTGGCCGGCATGACTAAACATCAAGGCGCACGGAACGCTGTTACCTTCCCACCGAAGTGGTACCTATTTATCTACTTGCAATTTCTTGCTTTCAAACTGCTAGGTTGGCAGGAGCTGGGACTAGAGACGGGAGCTCACTCCGTCATGCGGCACACTCGGGTCTCGAACTGCTGAACTACCGACCTTCCACAGCCTGCAGTTCAGCGTCTTAACCACTTGAGCCACCGCAGCTCCATGTCAAACAAAAATATAAATACAGAGAAGAGGCTTGTCATGATCTTTTATTCTCACAAAATCTTGTGAGCTACTGAGTCGGAGAATATGTGATTGATCAAAAGCCATCACAGTATCAACTCCATGGCGGAGTGGGGATCTGAACCCCGGGCTTCTCCACTTCAGATATGCTCTCTGGTGTGCATGAAGGACGGTGTCCGAGCGACAGTACGAAAGAGTATACAGTATTGTTTTCCCAGCACCATCTGAGTGGCAAAACAGTGTGTGTCTCTATATGATGCTTCCGTTGTGCATGGCCTATTATGAGGTGTGTTTGTGTGTGAGGAAGACACTGTTGATGTGTGTGTGCGCACAATATTGAATCTGGGTGATGCTGTGTGTGAAATGCCCAGCTTCCTTCCCGAAGATCCTCCTCTCTGCCTTGAACCTCTCTCTTAAATCACCCCATCTTTCCCCACTCTGCACCTTCTCTGCCCAGTTCTGCCTATTGCTGCTGCTGCTACCCAGGAGCAGGTCTCCATGGTGACAACACCCCCCTCCATCCATTCCTGCATCCTCCTCCCTTCAGCCTAAGCGACGTGCCCTTTGTCCAATCAACAGCCTGGCCTGGGTGGGAGGGCTTTTCTCTCCATCAATTTCCCTGCTATCCAGAGAGCAAGGATCTGGGGGGGGGGGAGAGAAAAACCCATCCTCCTTTCCCTCCCATTTCTCTCTCCCCCCTTTTTCTCTCCTTCCTTCCTTCTTTCTATTGGGCTTTTACGTTTTTTTCCTCCTTCACCTCTTTCCCCATCCCTCCCTCTGTTCCCCCCCTCTGCTTTTTTCCATTCCCTCCCCCCCTCCCCATCTGAGATCACCTATTGTTGCAATCTCGGTCTCTCCCCCCCCCATCCTTCTCTCCAGTTTTGCATCAGCCACCTTTGATGTCTGCCCCCTCCCCATATTATTTATTATCTTATTTCCCCACCCCTCTCCTTCCTCGGGGCAATGCCGGAAGATGCCAGGGAATGAGATCCAGGTAGCATCCAGCCGAGGGGTCGCCCATCGTTTGAAGGATGCGGGTGACACGGTGTGTCGGATACCATTGTTCTCCGCGTCTTCTGCTCCATCCCGTCGTTTCTGGTGACTGAAATCCACCCTGACTCTCCTTTTCCTTGCTTTGGTGGGTGGCCGTCCCCCCTCCCCACGAGCCCTGCACCTGCGTCTCGGTCCCTCTCCCCGCCTCCCTCCCCTCCTTCCCCATCCATGATTCCAGACTCCCCCTAAGATGCTAAGACCAGGCCCCTTCCTTCTTCTGGCTGCGTCCATGTCGTATTTCAACCCAGAGAAAGCTTTGGCAGCGCCTTCGGAAAACGGTGAGTCTTGGCAGGTTGCGTGGTCTCCCGTCTGCCCGTGGACAACCATCACTCTGCCTTCTCTCATCCGCCAACCTCGCCTCCATCTGTGACCACCTGTTTGTATATGTGTGGGTTACCTGCCCAAACCTGACACCTTCCATCACTTTTATGTTCATGGTGGGTACGGTGGTAGACCTGAGGGTGGGGTGGGGGTTTCTTTCCAGACAAGACATTAGTGACAGCATCTGGGCTATAAATTCCCTTCTCAAGGGAGGGCTGGGATTCCTGTACAGAGCAAATTAATCATTGCTGGCTTTCGTCAGATGTGTGAGCCAGCAGCCAGGGTTGCAGGTTGATGGGTTGGGGGGGGGGGGTTATGACTATTCCCTCTGCGGGGTTAGGAACTGGGGAATCCTGAAAGCCAAAGGGGAAACCAAAAATAGAAGTTTGGGGAGGTATTTCTGTACATGGTACAGTCTACAATTAGCACATGAACGCAGATCTATGGAGTTAGTGTTTGTGTCTGAAGAAAGCCAGGTGTGCATGTATGTGCGCGTGTGTGTGAGGTGGGCGTGGGGGAGGTCGGTGGCATCCAGAATATAGTATGAAACCGTGTTTAGTCTGACAGCCATCTGTGGAGAGTGGCATGACTCAAGTTTGATATGCCTTTGCAGAAGGCTTGGTGGGAGAATTTTGTGGGTATGTTTTAGAGGGTATTATATGGCCTTGTGAAAGGCTTGAGGCCAGTGTGTGAGGTGGAGAAGAGAGTGGCTTAATGGGGTGGGTGGGGGGAAAGTGGGTGGGGGGGAGGGGGGGGGAGCTGGGCCAAAATAAGAACGAAGGTATGAGCATGTATATGTCTCTGTGCGCGTGCAGAGAAAAGTAGATGTTAGCATGCATATGAGTGGGGATGCATGTATACATGTTGATGGGAACAAACAAGTAAAAGAAAGTGACATGACCTCATCTGCGAGACACAGCACTGAAAAATGTGAGTTCGAATCTCGCTTCACTTTGCACTTCCTGGGCAGTTGTGCTAAGCAGCATCTTTGAAGAAGAGTGATTAACACTTGGAATTCACTGCCACAGGAAGTAGTGGCGGCTACAAGCATGGACAGCTTCAAAAGGGAATTAGATAAGCATATGGAGCAGAGGTCCATCAGTGGCTATTAGCCACAAGGTATAGATAGGGGCTCTGGGGCAAGTGATGCTCTGTCTTCTTGGTGCTTGGGGGTGGGGGTCAACAGTGGGAGGGCTTCTAATGTCCTGGCCCCACTGGTGGACCTCCTGATAGCAGTGGTATTTCTGGCCACTGTGTGACACAGAGTGTTGGACTGGATGGGCCTTTGGCCTGATCCAACATTGGCATCTGTTATGTTCTTATGTTCTTTTGAGGCCTCGTTTTCCATCTGTAAAATGGGGACAAGAAAGGTCTAACCACTAAGTCTTAGCTGTGTGCTTGTGTGCATGAGTCGAGGACTGGGAATCCCTTTGCTTTTTGAAAAAGCTGTGTAAATAATCACAAATGCCGGTTCCTCCCAGCATCCTTGGATTAGGAGAACTGCCAACTGCCAAATATGTCACAAAGCCTGTCTCATCCCCGTCTCCATTGAATTAAACCAGGGCAAACCAATTTTGGACAAAGTAGCTTATGAATCTTTTTCATTGTTAGCTGGAGGCTTCAGGACCCACGGTCGTTATCCCAAATGTTTGCACAGCTGGAAAGTTATCCCCGAAAATATGATCAAAGCTATCTCGTTTGTCTCTTGATCTCCATTACATGCAGTCCTTCGAAAATGTTTTTTCTTCTTTCGTTCCCTTTTCTCTCTGTGTTAACGTGAGTCTATGGTCTGGCCTTGGCTTATTTGATCCAGTGTCAACGTGTGGCCTGCTGTAGGGTTGCCAGGTCCCCTCTGGCCACCGGTGGGGGATTGGGGGGGGGTTAAGGTTGCCAGATCCAGACTGGGAAACTTGTGGTGATTTGGGGATGGTGCCTGGGGAGGAGAGGGACCCAAGTGGGCTACAGTGCCATAAACAGAGATGCCAGCCTCCAATTGGGACCTGGGGATCCCCCGGAATTACAGCTCATCTCCAAACTACAAAGACCAGTTCCCTTGGAAGAAATGGCTGATTTGGAGGGTGGACTCTATGGTATTGTACCTCACTGAGGTTCCTGTACTCTCCAGGCTCCATCCCCAAATCTCCAGGAGTCCCCAAACCTGGAGCTGGCAACTCTACCCGTCCATCCCCTGCCGGTGGCCAAAGGGGACCTGGCAACCCTAGCCATAAAGCCCAACCTCCAAAACTTGCTTTTTCTCCAGGGGAGCTGATCTCTGTAGTCTGGACATCAGCTGTAATTCCAGGGGATCCCCAGGTCCCACCTGGAGGGTGGCAACCCTACTAGGCATGCAGAGACTCCACAGATTTCTGTCTGCTATTGGCTTACCTGCTCTGATGTCAGGGAGAGGAGGCAGTCTTGCAAACGTTCCAGTGGGTGTGCTAATTGGGGCCACTTGGCTTGTCAGAAGAAGCTGAGGTTATGGTGTCCAAGGGGAGAAAGCAGAATTGTGTGACAGAACTGGGGTGGCCCTTTCCTCTTCTTCCCTAGCGAACAGTCTACTGGCTCCCATGGACTATTTCCCCAAGCCTCTCTTTGGGTCAAAAAAGATGTGGCTACTAGCCATGGTGACTGAACCTCTACATTCAGAGGCACTAATCCTCTGAATCCCATGAGCCAGGAGGCAACATCAGGGGAAGGCCTCGGCCTCTATGCCCTGTTGTTGGCCGTCGAGAGGAACTGGTTTGGCCACTGTGTGAGATGGGATACTGGACTAGATGGACCACTGGTCTGATCCAGCTGGGCTCTTTGTATGATCTTATGTGACCAAAAGATATCGACACTCTTTGTGTTTTAGATATAAATGATAAGGTTGTGCTACTCCAGTTAGGACAATGCTTGCCCAGGAAGGGGAGCAGGGTTTTTAGGGATACCAGCCTCCAAGTGGGACCTGGGGATCCCCTGGAATCACAGTTCCTCTCTAGACTACAGAGATCAGTTCTCCTGGAAAAAAATGGATGCTTTGGAGGGTGAAATCCATTGGCATTGTACCCCCCATTGAGGTCCCTGAGTCCCCCAGGCGCCATTCCCAAATATCCAGGAATTCCTCAACCTGGATCTGGCTCCCATGGCTTTGTTTCTGGAGGAACGTGCTGGAATGGAGTTCCGGAACCTCTTCGGCAAAATTCTTTTAAAAATGTTTAAAAGTTCATGAGTTTTCAGTACACAGACTGAAAACGTCATTTCCCTCTTGAGGGTTCTGGCACCACTCTTCCAAAAGAAAAAAAGAGGGGGGAAAGCCCTGCTGGCAACCCTACCCCCCCCCATTCCTTCTCGGAGGCCAGGGGGAGTCCCACATGGGTTTTCTTATGGAAACAATTTTTCAAGTCTTTTCTAGGGTTGCCAGCCTCCAGGTGGGGCCTGGGGATCTCCCGCATTTACAACTGATCTCCAACTGACACAGATCAGCTCGCCTGGAGAAAATGGCTCCTTTGAAGGATCCACTATATGACATTGTACCATGCTGAGGCCCCTCCCCTCCCCAAGCCCCACCCTCTCCTGGCTCCACCCCCAAAGTCTCCAGGTATTTTCCAACCCAGACCTGGCAACCCTAGTCTTCCCCCCCTTTAAAGTACTAATAATTTAACAGGGAGTAGCGATTAATGAAACTGGGCAGGGATCGGAGGGTTAAATCCCTTCTCCCTTTTGTGTGGCCCCAGTCTAAATGGGGGTCCTGCACATCTGTTATTGCCAGCATAAAGCTGAATATCTTCTTCACCGTGTCTGTTTTGGCCCCTGGGTGACCTGCTCATCTTCTTCTGTTCACATTTTTTTTTAACATTACCTGCGTGGAGGCATACCACTGGAACTAAAAATCCATATGAGTTTCCAGGAAAGATCTGATCGCGAGACCCACTAAAGAATTTCCTCATAGATCTTTCCTGGAAAATCTAAGGAGATTTCAGTTTCTGGCATTACTTTTTCCCCATGTAGCATTCCTCCATTGGAATCACCCCAAAAATAATCCCAAAGAGGGAGATTTAACATCAGGTCAGCGTTCCGTGCGCTTTGGTGTTTAGTCATGCCGGCCACATGACCATGGAAATGTCTTCGGACAGCGCTGGCTCTTCTCCTTTGAAACGGAGATGAGCACTGCAACCCTAGAGTCGGACTCGACTGGCTTTCGAGCAAGGGAACCTTTACCTTTACCTTTTACTGGTTCTTAGAGAGGTTGCCAAGTGACACCCCAGAGTCTGAGACAAACAGAATTTGTGACTTACAGACTTAAACTGTTTCAACAGTCATTCCCTGTTCCTATAGGACTCTGGGAATTGTAGGGGTGGATGGAGCAAGTAGAATTCACAGTGCTTTTACCAAACTACAGGTCCATGGATGTCTTTTGGGGAAACATATCAATCAGTTCTTGCATCAGGTCAAGTGGACCATGAAAGTTTATGTTAGAATAAAAACATGTTAGTTTTTAAGATGCTGCGATATTGGATGAGGGTGGTGTGTGGGACAGATACAGGATTTTAAAATGGGGTGAAAGAAAAATGTTCAACTGTAGATGGATGAATTAAATGGGAAGAAAGGAATGTGTGTGGAGGAGGCTATAGGTAAGTGGGTGTTAAAGACAGAAGGTGTTTGTGGAGCAGGAGAGAGGGAGAAATGTTTGTCAGGATGATTAGATGGATGGATTTGTGCCATTGGCTTAGCTGCTCTGATGTCACAGATAGTATAGGCAGCCTTGGCTGAAAGTACATAGAGAAGAATGTGACCCACAAACAGAAGGGTGGAGGAAGGTTTATTTATATTTTGTTTATAACACTTACATCCTGCCTTTCTACCCAATCAGGGCCACCAAACTGGGATTAGAAATCAGAAAAGCTGGAACAAAGAGTGGTTCAGGACTGGCATCTGGACTGAACAGTGCATATGTGTTGAAATTTCCAAGGCCTTTGTACATCTTGGGATTTAAGGATGCATGCCCCCCAAATCTGCCTTCCACCCCTTAATGCCTGCTGTATTGTGACCAGGTTGAAGGATCTCACAGGTAACTGTTGTTTCTGAAGAATTCCCACTCTTCTTCTGTCTCTTGGCTTTTCCCAGATGGTTTATCTCAGGGCCGGAGTCCCCTGGCCCCTCCGTACGCTGTGGTCTTGATCTCCTGCTCAGGCTTGCTGGCATTTATCTTCCTCCTCCTCACCTGCCTGTGCTGTAAGCGTGGTGATGTGGGCTTCAAGGTAAGCCATGCTGGCCTGGGATGACAGGGGTGGGTGGGAATTATATATTTTCTGAGGTGGCCTCGGGAAGGTGGTTCCTTTTTGTTTTGTTTGATGCTGGCTAATAAAAGGAATAATGAGTTGCATTTTTGTTTACTAAGTGGAACTGTACTCCCTGGCATTCTGGAAGGTATTATTCCAAAGCTTGTGGCTAGCCTCAGGATCCCACGCTCAACCTGAGCAAAGTAATTGGGAAGCGTTGAGCCCTCAAATGGCAGGGTAGGCTGTATGTAGTATAAACATACATCCAGCCATGTGTGAACGTGACCTCAGTCTCCCTTATGGCCTCAGACCCTACTTTTTGTGACATCCTTACAACCACGTTCTGTCCGCTTGGTAGGAATTTGAGAACCCTGATGGAGAGGAATATTCTGGAGAGTACACACCACCAGCTGAGGAGACCTCCTCCTCCCAGTCTATCCCAGATGTCTATATTTTGCCTCTCTCTGAGGTCTCACTCCCATCTTCCAACCAACAGATGCCCAAGACTGGTAAGATTTCTTGTGTGTGTGTGGGGGGGGGGGGCGTCAGTATTTTTGTCTTTCCTTATCTTGTTCTGCACACCCTGCCTTGCTTCACCCCGAGCTTCTGCCTGACAGGATTCTTTCTTGCCCTCCTCTGCTTGTCACAGCTTTTCATCCTGTGTGTTTTCCTTCCTGATAGGGCAGCCTCAGTTTCTCCTTCATGCTGTTCCTTTCCTATTGTGTGCCTAGCATGACTCATCCTTGGCCTTGCTAACCTCCAGGTGGGGCCTGGAGATCTCTCAGAATTACAACTGACCACCAGACTAAAGTGATCAGTTCCCCTGGAGAAAATGGCTCCCTTGGATGATGGATTCTATGCTATTATACTCTGTTGAAATCTCTCCCCTCCCCAAACCCTCCCCTCCCAGGCCCAATCTCCAGGAATTTCCCAAGCCAGAGATGGCAACCCTGCACCCTCCTCTCCTGTTTCCTCTTCTCCTCTAGCCTTTGCGTCCTAGCTGAGGAAACTTTGTTAGTGAGTGATGAAGATTTCCCTCATGGGCCCTTGGAAAGCATAAAGTAGCCAGTGGTCATAAGGAGCTCTAGAAATGGGGTTCTAGGTTATTAATTGGGGTGAATAGTCAGGTTCTTGGTTTCACATGGGATATTGGTGTGAAATCTCTGACTGTAGCCAGTCTTGCAAGGTGGGAAACTAAGTTCTACCTTCAAAATGGTATAGCTAAACTCCACATTTCTTCTTCTCCTTTCAGCCCTTTAACAGACTATTTTCTTTTTGTGGCTGAGCTGTGCAGGGGGAAAGTGGGGTTGTGGGGCAGATATCTGGTAGGAGATTGTCTTTGCCTCCTTGCCTCTACTTCAGCATGACAAAGGGAAGGGAGCAGGTAACGGTGGGCCTCTATTTGCTGCTTCTTCCACAGAAAGGACACCTTTTCACACCTCTGTGTAGAAGCAGCCTTGGTTTCTCGCTTATTTCACCGCACCATTTTCTCCAGTAGCTTTTGGGCTTGGGGCTGGCCTGGAGTCATAATGGACATGGTAGGGAGGCCTCTGGGCCATGTTTCATGTCCTTAGCGATCCTGAACTGGAAAACTTCTCTCATGCTTTCAGATCTGGTGAAGCACCTGGGACTCAGCAGACAACACCTCAGTTATCTGCAGGAGATTGGGAATGGCTGGTTTGGAAAGGTGAGGGAGAGCTTCTTGTGTGACGAGCTGAAGGATGGGCATCCAGATTTTTCTCTCTGCCCACCAGAGTTGGATTTATCCAAAACCTGATTGGCTCTGAGCAAAGTAGGGGAATATGGAAAGCCCACATCATATTCTTACGATCTCCTTCTGTTTCACAGGTTATTCTGGGTGAAATATTCTCGGATTTCACTCCCGCACAGGTGGTGGTGAAAGAATTACGGGTGAGCGCTGGGCCGCTGGAACAGAGGAAATTCTTGTCAGAGGCCCAGCCATATCGGTAAGGAGTGGGAGAAATGGAAATGAGAAAGCATGAACATCTGCCCCCACCTCAGACGTGGTGGCAAAGGAGGCCTCTCTGAATAATTGATAGTTTTCCTTATAGCTTCCTCTTCTGTATCATAATCTTCAAGCACACATGATCTTTTCCAGGGCTTTCTTTTCTTCCTTTTTTTGAAAAAGAGGTGCCAGAACTCTCAAGACAGAAATGGAAGTTTTCAGTCCCCATACTGAAAACTCATGAACCTTAAACATTTTAAAAATAATTTTGTTGAAGAGATTCTGGAACCCCATTCCGGCATGTTCCCCCAGAAAGAAGGCCCTGATTTCACTGCAACAAATTCCAGAAGGGTAACTATTTTAGTTTGCTGCAGCACAGATAGAACAGAGTCTTGTGGCACCTTAAGAATTAATGAGAGGCCACTGCATCCTTGAACCACTGATGACATGCTTCTGGCAGCTGAGGGAGTACAGCCTGAAGCCCATACATGTTTATGTCAAACTCAAACTGTTTGTCTGTATCTGAGGAAGTGTGCTTGTACATGAAAGCTTACACCCTGAATAAAACTTTGTGAGTCTTAAAGGTGCCACTGGACTCAAACTTTGTTCAGACCAACACGGCTACCCCACCTGAATCTGTTAGTCTTAGGGTTGCCAAGTCATGTGTTGCTCCACAGCGGGGGACTCCCGGCTGGTGTATGGAGCGCGCTGGGGGCGGGGCCACGACCATAGAGTTTTCCCTCGGATGACCGTGGCCCCGCCCCCAGCATGCCCGGTGTGCCCGCGCCACTTCAGGGTGACGCGCACGTTGGGGTGGGGCTCCCCCCGGGGCCCGATCTGCCCGCGGCGGGGAACGGGCCTCTGGGGCGGGGGTGTCCCCGCCCCCTAACCCCGCCCTCTCCTGGCTCCACCCCCAAAGTCTCCAGGTATTTTCCAAACCAGATTTGGCAACCCTAGGGACTTGGCAAGCCTAGTTAGTCTTTAAATTACCACAAGACTCCTTTTTAAAAACAAACAAAGGAACAAATACTGTTTAACATTTATTATGCTATGGCTGGGTACTAAGATTGTGTCTGTTTTGCCGGCAGAAAAACTGATTTCTTTCGCAACGATATTTAAAGAGAGAGGGAGAGAGGAGAAGCAGCAGGCAGAGTAACTTCTCTCCCCTCACTCGGGCCCCAGCAATTTTGCAAAACTTTCATTTTATTTATCAGTATTTCCTTTTGTCAGGGCCATGGTAGCTCAGAGGTTAAGACACTGAGCTGCAGACTGGAAGGTCTGTAGTTCAGCAGTTCGAGACCCTAGTGCCGCGTGACGGAGTGAGCTCCCATCTCTGGCCCCAGCTCCTGCCAACCTAACAGTTCAAAAGCAAGAAATTGCAGGTAGATAAATAGGTACCACTTTGGTGGGAAGGTGACAGCATTCCGAGTGCCTCGGTGTTTAGTCATGCTGGCCACATGGCCACAGAGAAGTCTCCAGACAGTGCTGGCTCTTCGGCTTGGAAATGGAGATGAGCACTGCCCCCTAGAGTCGGTTTCAACAGGCTTTCAAGGAAGGGAAACCTTTACCTTTACCTATTTCCTTTTTCACTGGTTGCATATTCACCATAGGGTTCCCAACCTCTAGGTGAGGCCTGGAGATCTCCCAGAATTAAAACTCCTCTCCAGATGACAGAGATCAGTTCCCCTGGATAAAAATGTCTGCTTTGGAGGATGGACTCTGTGAAATTATACTCTGCTGAGGTCCATTCTTGCCCCTAACCCAATCCGCTCCAGGGTCTATCTCAATATATCCAGGAATCTCCCAACTTGTAGTTGGCAGCCGTAACCCAGCTGAAGTGCTGGGTCCATTTATCCATCCAAGATTTATATTGTAAAAGAAAAGGGTGGGAAAACAGAGCTGTTGCTCTAATCTGTAACATGTGGTAGAGGCCTACAAGAATCTTTGTACAAGGAAGAAATAAAGTTAGGGTGTACTGTGGGTGATCGTACAAAGACACAAGTCCTAAAAGGTAACCCCCGTTTGCCAGGAAGAAGGGAAGTGGCTGAGAGTGACACAAACCAACTTGAAATGAAGACGTAACAAGCCTTTTTTTCTTCTTCTTTTCTGCACTTTCCAACCCTCTGTCCGTCTGTCCCTTGCCTTCAAGAAGCCTCCAACACCCAAACATCCTGCAATGCCTTGGCCTGTGTACGGAGACCATCCCCTTCCTGCTTATCATGGAATTCTGTCAACTGGTGAGTAAACAAACAAACAAACAAAAGCCCAAATGAATTTGAGCTGGGAAAACCTATCTCAATCCAGTTCTTTGGTTTCAGATTTGTTTTGGGAAATTATATCGTCCCGTAGCCTCTGTCCCTCACTCAGACATCAGCTTTGCAGGTGGCTACTTGACACCTTACGGCTCAGCTGTACAAGATGTTGGCTATCAGTCACTGGATCTCCAGTGTCATTACTGTTCTTCAAAAGCAGCAGGTAGTGGGCAATTTGGATCAGTGCCACGGCATAGGAAAGGGGCAGGGCAGCCAGCCTCCGAGTGGGGACTGGGGATCTTTTCCCCCTTGCAGTTTATGTTCCCCAACGGTCCTTGGATGGTTTGCCCAAGGAGGAAGCTCTAAACCTTCCTTTAGGTGAGATTATCGGCAGCTTCAGAGCCTGAAATATTTGGGGAGGGGAGCCAGTTCACAAGACTGTTTGGACATGGCCAGGTGTGCGGTCCCATGAAGGAGAATCCTTGAGTACAAGGAGAAAACATCATCCAGGGTTTCATTGCCAAGCTTCTAGAATTGGTTGATTACATTTATTTCAAATTAGGGGCTATCAGGAACTTTGGAGAGGGGTACTGGAATAATATCCCCCACCCCACCCCGCAATCCATGGTATTATAGCATGAGATTGTTGGAGGCTGGGGCAGTCAACTGTGAACTCTGAAGTACTGTGTGTGCGCATGTGTGTATGGACTATTCTATATAGCAGAGTTTGGGGGAAGTTTTGACCAGGGCATTACGAAGGCATAACCATTGGTACTCTCATTTTTGTGTTTTCCCCTTTAAAATACCATATTTTTTCACCCACCTGGGCACTCCAGGTATGCCAAAGTCGTACTCTTCTCCTTGTATTACCCCCTTGTGCTGCTTTATTGGTTGGTGCAGCCCACTCCCTTTGCTATGAAGGAGAATTATTTAACTGCAGGGCCAGTTTGGTGTAGTGGTTAAGTGTGTGGACTCTAATCTGGGAGAACCGGGTTTGATTCCCCACGCCTCCACTTGCAGCTGCTGGATGACCTTGGGCAAGCCACAGTTCTGTCAGAGCTGTCCTTGAAAGAGAAGTTTCTGTCAGAGTTCTCTCAGCCCCACCTCCCTCACAGGGTGTCTGTTGTGGGGAGGGGAAGGGAAAGGAGATTGTAAGCCGCTCTGAGACTCCAAGTGAAGGGTGGGGTATAAATCCAATTCCTCCTCCTCCTCCTGTTATCACTGTTATTGTGCTGTGTAGAAACCATAACATGCTAAATTTTTGAATGATCTGGCAGCTTTGCATTAGTTTTGCTAGCTTCTTCCAATTCCTCCACCCCCTTGCCCCTCCAGGGAGATCTGAAACGCTACCTTCGAGCCCAGCGCAAAGCAGATGGGATGACCCCTGACCTGCTCACCCGTGACCTCAGCACACTACAGCGCATGGCCTATGAGATCACGCTAGGAGTGCTGCACCTGCATAAAAACAACTACATCCACAGGTAGGGACGGAGGCTGGAAAGCAAGTCTCTTGGGTTCTTTAGGAAGAAAGTCTGGAAGCTCATGAGGATTTAGGATCATAAGAACATAAGAACATAAAAGACGCCAATGTTGGATCAGGCCAAAGGCCCATCAAGTCCAACACTCTGTATCACACGGTGGCCAGAAATACTAGTGCCATCAGGAGGTCCACCAGTGGGGCCAGGACATTAGAAGCCCTCCCACTGTTGACCCCCCCAAGCACCAAGAAGACAGAGCATCACCTGCCCCAGAGTCCCTATCTATACCTTGTGGCTAATAGCCACTGATGGACCTCTGCTCCATATGCTTATCTAATTCCCTTTTGAAGCCATCCATGCTTGTAGCCGCCACCACTTCCGCACACATGAAGCTGCCTTATACTAAATCAGACCATTCATCAAGATCAGCATCATCTGCTCAGACCAGGAGCAGTTCTCCAAGGTTTCAGGTAGAGATCTTTCACATTATCAACTCCCTGGTCCTTTTAACTGGAGATGCCGGGGGTTGGACCTGGGACCTTCTGCCTGCAAAGCAGAGGCTTTTCCACTGAGCCACAGCCCCTCCAGAATTCCTGGCATCCCCAGGAAGAAATCATGATCATGATGGCTTAGAATATGACGCCTTGGTTCTCTGACAGGCAGACTAAGCTAAATTGGTCATAGCTTGTGGTATGAACAGGTAACAGAAGCTGAACACATGAAACTGCCCTATACCTAATCAGACCATCAGTCCACCAATGTCATTATCGTCTCCTTAGAGAGGCAGCCACTCTCCAGGGTCTCAGGTGGAGGTCTTTTACATCACCTACTACCTGATCCTTTCACTGGAGATGCTGGGGATTGAACCTGGGGCCTTCTGGATGCCAAGCAGATGCTGTACCACTGAGCCACGGCCCCATCCCCTTGAAGAGGGATGTCTGACTAGAGTCTCTCAAGTAGTAGGGAGCAGTGTTCCCTCTAAGCTGAGTTAGTGTGAGCTAGCTCACAGTTTTTTAACCTCCGGCTCACACATTTTTGTCTCAGCTCAGGAAGGAGGGCTCCGGAGCAGACTAATTTATGCAGTAGCCAAATTGCTCGCTCACAACTTTAATGCCAGAAGCTCACAAAGTGGAATTTTTGTTCACAAGAGCCCACAGCTTAGAGGGAACATTGGTAGGGAGGTGTAATTCCAAAACTGATTCTCAGTTCTCCAGGGGAAGAGAATGTTTTCTCTGTTGTTCCTTGTTCATTGAAGTGTTGTTGTTATTTCAAACAAGGAAAGTGTGTACAAGAGAGGGCCTGTCCTCCATTTCCCCTTCTGCCCATGTTAAATGTCTCCAAGTATCACTTATGGGGGGGATTTTTGTCCCTCTGCAGTGATCTGGCGCTTCGGAACTGCTTGCTGACCTCAGACCTCACAGTGCGGGTTGGTGACTACGGCCTCTCACACAACAACTACAAGGTGAGGGGGTGGGCTGGCTGTTCCAGCTAGGCAGTTCTGGGTGGTTTTCGTAGGAGCTTCAGGAAGCTGGACTGCGTGAGCCAACTTCGGTACAAGTAGCGCTTACGCACTGTGATCGCCGCGACCAAATGGCCTACATTTGCTGGTTTATTCTGCTTCCAAGATGAAAGCACGTCAAAGTATCTAGAATTGTTTAGCAAGGTTGAAATGATTGGACAGGCCAGAGGACAAATACTGGGAACAGGTGCATTGTAGGTAAGGTGTGTGTATGTGTGGACAGGAAACTGTGCAGGGCTTTGAAGTCACACCCGCATCACTAGACTATTTAGTACCAATGGTGTACATGTTGCCTGCCTGTCTCCTGAAATGTCTCCAGACCCTGGCTGGGCATGTTCAAGCAGTGCTCACAACCGTGAGTACTAAGGCTGAATTATATGTTACGCCAGAGAGCTGTCAGTGAGACTGCACTCCTAAGAGCACTTCTGGGGACTAAGCCCCACTGAATAAAATGGTTATGACTTCTGAGTAGACCTGCTTAGGTTTGCACTATGAATGTCTTGATGTTTTGTTTTGTTTTTATTAAGCTGTAGCCATGAGGGAAAGGGTTGCAAGGGGAGGTGGTTGAGTATTTATTCCTTCCCTGATGCCATTTCCCCAGTAAGAATCACACCCTTATTTAGCTGTTTGTATTGTGAGGGGAAAAAATTGTATTTTGAGCTACGGTGGCTCAAGTGGTTAAGACGCTGAACTGCAGGCTGTGGAAGGTTGGTAGTTCAGCAGTTCGAGACCTGAGTGTGCCGCATGACGGAGTGAGCTCCCGTCTCTAGTTCCAGCTCCTGCCAACCTAGCAGTTTGAAAGCAAGAAATTGCAAGTAGATAAATAGGTACCACTTCGGTGGGAAGGTAACAGCGTTCTGTGCACCTTGGTGTTTAGTCATGCCGGCCACGTGACCACGGAAACGTCTTCGGACAGCGCTGGCTCTTCGGCTTTGAAACGGAGATGAGCACCGCAACCCTAGAGTCGGATTCGACTGGCTTTCGAGCAAGGGAACCTTTACCTTTACCTATTGTGAGGGGGAAAATTTGTATAGGAAAGAAAAATATCGTTTTAAAAAAAATCTCTAGATTCTGAGTTCCTGACCAGGGAACACTCTACTTGGCACATTCCACCTTTCCATGTCTGCTGGATGTCCTGTGTTATTGTCCGTATTGACCTATTCCATGTAATCCACTTTCAGTCCCATCGAGAAAAATTGACGTAAATAAAATAAATAGAAGTGCTTAGCCTTAAACTGAAGTAAAAATGGGTACAGACTGGTGTAACTCTACACAGGGCTGCACAGTTAGGTAGCGTACAAGCAAGTTTGAACTGAATGATGTTCAGTCCCAGTGTGTGTGTGTGGGGTTGTGTGTGTGTGTGTCTACCACATGTAGATTATCCATCCCAAAATGAACCAGCAGATTTCCTTGCTCTGTGCTTCTCAATGCCGGAGGGCCAGGCTGGTGTTTCCCTCAGGCAGTGCCCTCTGAAAGTGCCTCTGGTTGGAGGAGGGGCAGCCACTGAGCCATACCTCCTTGGAAGCCGCGGTCCCCTTGACCAATCAGGGGACCAGGTGGAGAACAACACCGCTTCCCTCACCAACGCCAGTGATGAATTCCACAGGGGTACCTGCATTGCCGCAAAATCAATAAAAAGAGTCTGCTGATGCCTTAAAGACAAACACATTTAGGGTGGAATAAACATTCCTACGCCAGAACTCAATTTGTCAGATACGAGCTGACGTTCATCAGACGTGGCACCTGGCAGAGTGAGCGCCGGTAAATGAAGATTTATTTCACCATCAGGGTGTTGATCTTTACGGTGCCACTAGATTGTGAGCTGTGCTGATGCCAGAGGTAATTCTGGCTGTCTCCGGTCTTGACGGTCGCAGTGAGGCAAAGAGCGAAACACCCCCCCGCCGCCGCCTCTGTACCAGCCTGGGATCACAGCAGGTAGCACGTACGGCATCACTCCGCAGGAGGACGTCGACTTCAGCTCTGCTCCAGCATCGATTCTTATTTTTGTTTTGCAGGAAGACTATTATATCACCCCTGACCGGCTCTGGATCCCCCTGCGCTGGGTCGCCCCAGAGTTGCTGGACGAGATGCACGGCAACCTCATTGTGGTGGATCAGACCAAGGAGAGCAACGTCTGGTAGGTCTAGGGTTCCCAGCGCTAGGTTGGGGAGTGTCTGGAGATTTGGGGGGTGGAGCCTGGAGAGGGCGGGGCTTGGGGAGGGACCTCAGCAGGGTACAGTGCCACACAGTCCATCTTCCATGGCAGCCATTTTGTCCAGATAGGGTTGCCAACGCCAAGTTGGGAAATTCGTGGAGATTTTTTTGGGGGGGGCTAGGGAGGGCAGGGTTGGGGGAGGGGAGGGACTTCAGTGGGTATAGCGCCATACAGTCCACCTCCAAAGCGACCATTTTCTCCAGGGGAACTGATCCCTGTCACCCAGCGATCAGTTCTAACCAGTGTTCCCTCTAAGCTGAGTTAGTGTGAGCTAGCTCACAGTTTTTTTAGCGTCCGGCTCACCCATTTTTTGTCCTCGCTCAGGAAGGGATGGCTCCAGAGCAGACTAATTTATGCAGCAGCCAAATCACTCGCTCACAGCTTTAATGCCAGTAGCTCAGAAAGTAGAATTTGTGCTCACAGGACTCCACAACTTAGAGGGAACATTGGTTCTAACCCCAGGAGAACGCCAGCCACCACCTGGAGGTTGGGAACCTTATATCCAGAGAGAGTGCTCTCTGTTGTCTGGAGTTCCATTGTAATACCAGGAGATCTCCAGGGCCCACCTGGAGGCTGGCACCAATGCTAGGTAGGTCCCTGTGGATGGGGGCCTCATTTGGAATTCTCACAACCTGGGCAGCTGGGCTGAGGGGGGAAGCCAATGTGGCGTTAAGATTCGCACCTTCTAGCTTGGATTTGCTTGCCAGAGTTAATATTTCAATCTAATTTGAATTTTTAAACAGCATCCTTCGTTTAATGACAATATAGCACCATCAAAGTGTGCATCACTTGGGGTCCTTGCCCCAGGGAGTTTACAGTCTCATGTCTGACCTGGCAGAGAGAGCAGAGGAAGGGGAGAGAGGTGAAGGTGGGCCTGAACAGGGGAGGAATGGGTGTCCATTCCACTTACAGGTGCTCAGGTTTTGTTTCACTCAAAACAGGTTGTGCCAAAGGTTCCAGGGAAAGAAATACATATTTATCTTATAACTGTATTGCCATTACAGTATTTGCATACTGCCTTCCAAGGGTGTTTATACCGTAGGTGCAAAAGAATCATGTAAACGCTTTTGGGTTTAAGGTTTTGCATAAAGGAAAACAGGGTATATAAAGGGCAGGACAACTTGATACTTAATCTTCTCTTGTGTAATAATCTATTAAGATTTCAATATTTGAATTTTTTGAAAGTTCAGCATCAAATGGGTTGAGCTCGGATGCTGCCGCCCATTTCCGCACAGCCCTGCCTCAGAGGCTCCTGCAGGGGACACTCTCCTGCGCAGTGCAGAGGCATCTGTGCCCACTTTGTTATTGCGCTGGGGGGAGCTGTGGCTCATTCTGCATCCCTTTTTCCCTCCATTGTTTTATGAAGTCCACGTTGGAACAGAAATTCCCCTCTGCATTGCATGCTGCTTTCACTTCCTTAGATCATCGGGTTTTAGGGTAGCCTCCACACTCCACGTCACTTTCGCTTCCTTTGATCATCAGATTTTATGGTACCTTCTGCATAGATTTATGGCCGTTCGGGGGTGTCTTTGCAGTGGCTGATTTTGCACTAGAGCTGCCTCGATGTTGCGTCGCCGTTTGCCCCGATACTATTGGTCAATTTCACACCCGAAGCTGCGGGGCTGCATTTTGACTCGCGGCTTCGCCCGATTTCCCCCGCAGTTTCGTAATCCTGTTTTTTGAGGATCACGAAACTGCGGACGAAATCGGGCGAAGCCGCGGGTCAAATGCAGCCTCGCGGCTTCGGGTGTGAAATTGACCAATAGTATCGGGGCAAACGGCGGTGCAACATCGAGGCAGCTCTAGTGCGAAATCAGCCAGTCAGTATGGCACTGCTAGGGTTGCCAGGTCTGGGTTGGAAAATACCTGGAACAGGGTAGTTAGTGCATTCCTGTTGCATGATCCCTGCCTGGGCAAGACACTGGCATTAGCATTGATCCTGCAATCATGCCAAATTAAACAAAGTATTTGGGAGTGATGGCCATAGAACCAGTCATTGCATTTCTGAGCTGCCTTGCAGGCTCTGAAGCAACAAGGGAAGAAGTACTGTAAATGAAATAAGTCCATAAACCGCCCGTTAGGTATAGTTCTGTAGGAAGACATTAGGCAACAGAGCTGGGCTTGAGGAATTGGGACCACTGCTGAACACCTTCTGGACAGTTAGGGGAAGAATGTGGTTTCCAATAAAGAAGGAGCCAGAACCAGAGTGTGCCTGAGCCTGCTGCTGGCTGCCGGCTGCTCCCCTTTCCCCTCCGCAACCCCTTCATCTAGCGGCTTCCCCCGTAATGCGGTACTGAAAACGGATGAAGCAGCCCTCCTTGCATGAAACAGTTGTACCTCAACCGATCTCCAGACTACAGAAATCAGTTCTCCAGGAGAAGGTGGCTGCTTTGGGAGGTGGACTCTGTGGCGTTGTACCTTGCTGAGGTCCCTCCCCAAGCTCCATCCCTAAACGTCTAGGGATTTCTGAACCCACAGTTGGCAACCCTATTTGGTACAAAATACTTGAACAAACGATAGCAACAGTATGGGGTTGCCAGGTCCCTTGGACCTGCCTGCAAGGGATGGAGGGCGAACTTACCGGGAGTGTGGAGGAATGCTGGAAATAAACACAATGCTTACAAACGTGACATGCCTACGTGACCCAAAAGTGATGTAGGCACTTTGGGGATGTGAAGGGGAGGGTGATGCTGTGGGTTTGGGGCAAAACTCTATAGCAGAATTAGCTTCTCCCATAGAGTTTTGCCCAAAAACCAGAGCGTCGCCCCCTGACATCCCAATATGCCTATGTCACTTCTGGGTCACATAGGCATGTCGCGTTTAATTTTGGTGTTCTTCCCTGTTTAGGAGGGTAATTCCCCCCTGCCAGCTGGCTGGCCAGTGGCGGAGAGTTGGGGCCCAAAAGCAGGGGACCCCTGCCCCCACTGGGGGGGTGTGTGTCTGGCACCCTTGCCACAGTATTGTAGAATGAGCATTAAGTGATCACTGTTTTCTTAATCTAAGCGTATCGGCTGCAGTCCATCAGTGATCAAGGAAAGGCCCTTTGTAAACACTCCGAGACAGATTCAGATAATCCCGGACTCACACTTTAGTACTAAAAACAGATTCCTGTGCTTCATCTTGGTAAGAAAGGGTGCCATGCATTTCCTGTGGGGCTCAATGGGCAGATATATAGGTCGGGCTCCAAAACCTCTCCCCCATAAAACCAAAAAGTTCTTTTGGGCTATTTAACACCGTGGGGTGGAGTTTATGCTGGGCTAGACTTTTGATTCCCTCCCTCTGTCTCTCTTGTGTTCTTGCCAGGTCGATGGGGGTGACCATCTGGGAGCTTTTTGAGTTTGGCTCCCAGCCGTACCGGCACCTCTCCGATGAGGAGGTGTTAACTTTTGTCGTCAAAGAGCAGCAGATGAAGCTCGCCAAGCCACGCCTTAAGCTTCCCTACTCGGACTACTGGTGAGTCTTGCAACACCAACAACTCTCTCTGTGGGGCAGAGATGGTGAAGCCCAGAAGAGGAGATATCGTCCTCCTGGATTCTCCTCCACTGGAGACATCTGGGATGGTCTCCTGGGCAGTCTGTAGATCCTCTTTTCTTCCCAGGACGTTGTGTGTGCCCTGCATTAAGGTTGCTCTTTTCGGCACCCTGGTTTCTCCTAACGTTCTCCCATTGTTCCTTCCCTCTGTTCCTCCTATTGTTTCTCCGACCACTCACCCGTCTCTCTGCCTCTGCTGTCATTCTGACAGATCTTTGCAATGAGCTCTTTTGCCTTTCCCCGCCCTGTTCTTCTGGGGTCGCTTCAGCCACGCTAGCAGTCTGTGGATTTTCTCACTGGGCTTTGTTATCTTTCAAACTGTCCTTCCAGCAGCTGTCCCGACTCCATTTCTTTTGGCTATCAATGTCCTAAGGGCATGCCTAGACTTAAACTGGTATAACACGTATGCCCTCTCCCCGTGGAATCTTTGGAACTGTAACTTTGTGCAAAGGCCCAGAAACGAACTTCATTTCTCAGGATTCTTGGGGGTGGCGGGACTGTTCTGAGAGCCATAACATCGAGACTGGTATAACGTTGCTGTGTAGATATACCCTTAGAGAGATGCCCTTTCTGCTGTGCTTTCCAAGTGCCAACTCTTTAGTTACAGCTTGTTTTGTGGGCTGCCCCACTTTTTTCAGGTTGTTCCTCCGCTTTCCTGGTATGCTGACCACCTGTTCTCTGTCTGGCAGGCCATTTCCTGAGAATTCTTATCTTTCTGAGAGCTAAACTGCACATGGGCATTTGGGGGCTGTGATTAGGTCTCTCTTTTTCCCCCTCTTTTTTTACATTTAAACAGAAAGGTTTAATGGAGCTGACAAAAGGCAGGCTATCAAAGCATTAATGCACATGGCAGAATTATTAGAGCAATAATACCACTGTAGTTTAAGGAGGAAGAGAACAGCTAATGAATAGAAGCAAACAAGTCAAACTTATATTTTGATCAATATCTCATATTTTAAAGAGTTTTTTATAGTTGTATAAGGATGAGGATTTATTTCACATCACACAGAAGGGCCACTCCTCTCAGTATCCAGTGATCTGGAGACACAGTTGTCCTTAGGTAGATTGCAGTGATGTAGGTCAAATCAGTTCTCCTTGGCTTCTTGTAAATAGGGCAAACATAGAGTTTGGGATCTCGTATTAATTGCAAATATATGCACAACCGGCAGTAGCGTAAAAAGAATCTTTGCTGTAGATTCAGTGAGTTTGTTATTTCGTCTGTCCCACCCAGCTCCATCCAAGTACAATCCATAGATATATACACCTTCAGCAGGGGCCGCTGTGATTTCTTCCCTAACTTGTTTCAGCACTTCATTATGAATCGTGACTGTATCCAAAGCCCACCCTTTGTGCGCTCGAGTCACTTCTTGCCTCATAGCTGTGAGAAAACCTTGAGGTTTAGGTCTCTTGATGTGCAATTTCACCTTAAAAAACAGCCATGAGGGGGCATTGGTGTTACAGCTGTGGTACTAACGTAGGTGTTGGGACTTTATCCTTAATCAAGGCCTCCCCTCTGCTTCTCCTTGATGTTGTCAGGGGATGGGGGTTCTTCACCCTGCCTGGGGCTGCTCCAAGGGAGGGGGAAATGTCGGCATCTGGGGGTGGCAGGAGCGGGGCCGAAGGGCCAGAATGGACCGCACTGGCAGCTGGGATAGCTCCCCGATCCGTTGAGAGCCAGTTGGGTGAAGTGGCTAGGAGTGCAGAATCTAATCTGGGAGAACCGGGTTTGATTCCCCACTCCTCCACATGCAGCTGGTGGTGTGACCTTGGGTCAGTCACGAGTTCTTTCAGCGCAGTCCTCGGAAGA